AGGGCAGAACCGCTGCTGCTCGTGCGGAGGCTGCGCCGCTCCATCATTTCACAGCAGAGTCCACGGAGCGCGTTAACATGAACTCACTCCTGTCCTCTTCTTCTCTTGCAGCGCGTCGGGAGCCAGCGTTGTGGCCATCGACAACAAGATCGAACAAGCGATGGTGAGTGTTGGACTGCTTCTCTGACATGTTACTAACTAAAGGCGACCACAGCGGCCTTTAATCCACGTAAACTCCTGAAGGGATGGCTGTCTAAAAATAGCACCGAGTCAGATGATAGAGGACTTGTTTTGGGGAATTTGCCCTTTTGTCTGGAGTTTCATCATAGTGTCCTTAAACGTGTGTTAATTTATGTCCTTAGCTCTAAAATTGTGACGTTAAATGTAGTTAAACTGCCCATTTAAATCAAGACATGAGCAGACTGTTGTTTATGCTAATGTTAACGTAGTTTAGCTTAAATCTAGCTTCATCTACCTGAACACTAACCACACTAACACTCAGCCCAAGCCAACATCAGTGTGTTTTACATATTTATTTTTCCCCGTAAAAACAAAAATAAATATGTTGTAGCTTAAAAGACATTACTGTAATCGAGCAGTATTTCCCAGAAAGCCAGTCCGGTTTTGTTTTCCGTTTCTCCGTCTGTGTTGTTGCTGCTGTCAGCTCTGTTGCTAGGCAAACTGGAAGACTGACACGCCCGGTTATAAATATCTCGCCCTCTGATTGGCTGACGCTCAAGCGTGGGTCGATTTAGTGACGTAGCAGCCTGGGAATATTGTCCCCACGTTTCCCCTTCATCACCTGCTTATTGTGTTATCACGAGATTACAAAGCTCCTGTTTTAACGCTCGGTTTCCACTCGTGTCTTGATGCTAATTTAGTTTATCGCTTTGTTATTGCTTTGTTATAATCACATATTAATTTCTACATAATATATTGTGCGCTGTGTTAATTATTAATGTCCATAAAGTTGTCAGTGTTTCTATGAAATACTTTTTCACCCTGTTTATGACATAATGACTCGCTGCTGCTGCTTCAGTGACACAGTTATTGTTTTTCATTTATGTTGGTCATTTGGTTGTGCTTACATTAAGAAAGGCAAACTTATAATCCAGGTTTAAGTAATTAACCGCTTTGTGTTGTAATGGGATACAAGGTTAAGTTCTTCCTGTTTGGTCATCCTCACAGCTCACATGCATTGTAGTCAAACTTGTGTTTCTTTACCTGTTTAAGATATAAGATTTAACCCATTCGCTGTATTTTATCACCACGTCAGTGCAGTTTTCCAGCTTTGGAGCCTCATATACCACGTGAACAGGTGTCAAGACACTTGTTAGCATTTTTAAGACTGATCGGTTATTTATGTAGTCTGATGTCTGACATAATGAGAATTCAGAGACATAGAAGTTGGACCATCAGTTATATCAGTTTACCAGACTCAGTGCCTGTTTGTTCATGTGTTGGTCTTGATGGATTCCAGTCCTAAAGCCGTCCCTCTGTCTGTTCCAGGACCTGGTGAAGAGTCACCTGATGTACGCTGTGCGCGAGGAGGTGGAGGTCCTGAAGGAGCAGATCAAGGAGCTGATCGAGCGCAACTCCCAGCTGGAGCAGGAGAACACGCTGCTCAAGACACTGGCCAGCCCAGAACAGATGGCCCAGTTCCAGGCCCAGGTTCAGACCGGTTCTCCGCCTGCACCTCCGACGGCTGCCACGCCGGGACCCCCAAGCACCGCCACCCTCGCCCAGCCCGCCTCACACAGCTCCGGCCCGTCGGCGTAGCCTGGCCTGCACACACACAGACTGACTGACTGACAGTTTCTGAGTTCTGCTACAGCTGCAGAGCCAAACTTTGCCTTCTACAGCAGGAGGTCTCGCTGTTAAGACAAGAATTTGCACATATTTATCTCAGAAGAATGCAGCAGGCGGGACGAGCGGCGCTGTGCTTTGCAGCACGGCGGAGGGAGACAATCTTGAGATGCTGTACGGGAGGGTTGTTGTCATGTTTTCAGAGGAGGATGAATCATTGAACATTTGCCAAATAACCCTTGATCATCAACTAGAATGTCTTACCAAGAAGAAACAAAACACCTTATCAGTGGCGACAGTATACTTAACTTTAGATTAAAAAAAAAAATCACTGTGCCTGCGTCTGGATTTTAAGTGATGTCGATTATACTGACGATGGAGTCGGAGCGGTGGGAGGAGGGAGGAGGGAGGAGGAGGATTGTATTGGTTGTAACCTATTTTGCTGAATGATGTAAATACGCGTTTCTCTCTCAAGGCTAGATGCTAAAGTTGCAGGTCGAGAGACTTGAGAGAGAGAAAAAGCCTTTTCAGAGTGACAAATGAAGAATGTGAGCAATTATTATCATGACAAAGTCCCCATCTGGAATGGGGGAGTCGGGGTGGGCGGGTGGGTCGGGAGGCGGGCGGGAGGGTATTTTGAACAACACTTGGCAGCATTGATGATGTTACTTCAACTGTGGGTTGATGGGATGAACAAACCATGGTTTCTTATGGAGATGATGATAATCTATTTTCAGTATTTGGAGCTCCTCATTTTGCCCTCGACAAAGCTCATCATTGCTGTTCTCTCAACCCTGCGGCGGCATGTAATTTAAACCTTATTCGACAGGGTTGAGACTGTGGGCTAAGCTGCATTTTTCTTTTTTTCTTAAAAGTTTGACGGGCAGAAGATCATGTATATTTCTGTACAGTGTAAGTACCATGTAAAATAGTGAGGAGGAGGAGGAGGAGGAGGAGGAGAGGAAAAACAACAGATGCTATCTAGGTCACACAGATTGATGCAGATGAGCAACGCGCTGGTCTTGGCCGGTCTGTGTCATCTATTTTTAATGCTGTATTTTCAGGACTGTGGATCGACAGGAGTTTAGGTTATTTAACTGACAACGACGCAGCCGACGACGTTGTCCAAACCCCCCTTACTGCAACATTAACTCTTTGACTGTAAAACCATTTTCACTCTTTTTCTTTTTTTCTTTCTGGAGTATTGCACCTTTTTTTTTTCTTCTTTTTTTCTTTTTCTTTTCTTTTTTTTAAAAACTTTTTGACAGTGAAGTACTTTTGGATGAACAATATCTTAAAACTCAACCTTTGAAAAAACAAACAAAAAAAAACAAACAAACAATACAAACTCTGGAGATGTTCTTTCTTTTCCATTCTGTGTATCAGTTGTATGCTCATGTTCTGTGCATGTTTCCGCAAAGACCGGATGAGATATTGTAACATACATACCACAAATTGCACTTGACAGCTGCACTTCACAACTTTCAATAAACATGCTTAAGGAAGATTAACAGCCTTGTTACCATCTCTCTCTCTCTCTCTCTCTTTTTTTGTTTTTCCTAAGTCGTCCTGCCCAGTGGGTGCAGTCATCCAAAGGTGAACCAAGCCTCCAAATACTGGTATACACGTCAGAGAAGCCAGTCACTTGTGGGGTCATGTTTTCTCTTCAGGGTTATTAACTGCCTCCTACGTAGCTCTACCTTTGTGTTAGCGAACGGGTGTTTGGATTAAAGCAGGTGACGTTTTCCGATTCAAGGCTTCAAAAACAAGAATAATGCGCAATTTAAAATCCTAATTAAACAGCTGAAATTCAGTTTTTGTACATCAGATTACTTCCAAACCAGCATTAAGTAGTGTTTTAGCGACTGTAACAGACAGACTGTGCAGGTACAGACGTAATAAACGACTGAACACGTTCCCACGGGTTTAAACGGGAATTCCTTTTTCTCGTAGGTGGCTGAGCTGCACCTTAATATAGACGGGAAGCGCTGTTTTCTTTTTTAGCGTTCTCTATTGACTGCTGAATCCCACAGTAATCCCACACAACACTAGAAATACCCTCCGTCTCTGGGGAAAAAATATTTATATCGGTTTCGGTTGGTGGGAAACCATAATGACACCTGGTTTTGTATACACGCTGTAGTCAACTCACAACACACCGTCGTCTTCGTGGGCAGCTGATGAACATGTATGGCATGTAAAGCATTCAGCGCCATCGTGTGATCACGTGTTTTCCTGCTGCGTGGGGAGAGCTGCAGCTATTGGAAGGCGGATGATTAATTGCTCGGTGTTGTAAATGTAATTTGTACAGTAATCCGTTCATTTCCACTGTTAAATAACCCAAATTTTACACAAAGCGTCTCCTGCAGAGAAACTCTACAACAGACATCTGCCCATCATGTGCTCGAGCACTAATACGATTCCCATGTTCCCTTTTATTCTGATTAGATTCAGTGTTCGTTAAAAGAAGCCTCTGATTCAGCTGTGTCCCGGCCAACATGCCTATACATACAACCTAGACTTTAATTCATTATTATTATTGTATAAATCATTCTTGGTTACTGCTGTGATGTGAACTCACACTGCTGTAAAACCCAGAGCTCTCCTCATCCATCACACACACAAACACACCAGCACATGGCGTGTAAGTGAGTGTGTGTGCTGATAAACAACCAGGGTCTGCAAACGTAGAATTAAAAAGGTGGGCCGTCGTCTAAATGCTCAACATTTATTTGAAAAAAACATTCATCTCACACGGCACGGACCAACAGTGAAATCGACAGATATGGCACATTGCTAGCAGGAATCACTGGCCGCACAGTCTCACACCTTCACACACACTCACACACTCACACACACACACACAGGTGCCAAGTGAATAATGAAACACACACATTGTTTTCCAGCCGGCGTGGTTTCAGACTGTCCATAGAAAAGCTGTCAGTACCACAGACTGCAACGCTGTAAACGCTGATCGAGGGCGGGGGGGCGTCTGTAGAGGGGCGAGGGCGAGGGCGGAGGCGAGGGCGGAGGGGCTGGCGGAGGCGGCGGGAAGCTTCTCTCTCCGAGGTCTGGCATCAGTCTCTGGGCCTCTGGGAGGGGCTGGAGGGGGGTCGCGAGTGTGCAGGAGCGGGCTAGCCGGGCTCAGTGAGGGCATGAGGAAGGGGGACGGGGCTCCAGAGCCTCCCTCTGAATCACATCCCCATACGGATGCTCTGGATGATCTGAAATATGGCTGAGAGCAAACAGACCAGCTTGACAGACCCTGTTTGTCTCGTTCTTTTGTTTTTGTTACTCATGAACAGTTTCACCGCCAACATGCAGAAGCAAAGCTGTACGGGTTTGTCACAGAGGCACATTTCTGACAGGCAGTACGTTAACTTAGTCACTAACGGCAGGTTTCTGGAAACGAGTCACGTTATCACGACTGACTGGGACATCTGTGTAGATCAGATACAAGGCGTCCTCAAATGTATTCATCCCCGTCCATTAAAGAAAAGGCAAAACTCCCAACAGTCACTCAAATAACTAGAAACTGACAAAAGTAATAATAAATAAAAATTTGCAAAATTATAATTTAGTAAAATAAGATGTTGCTTTTGAATTGTGGTTGAAAAGAATTATTTAAAAAAACAAACAAACTGTCAAATTCGAGCCCTTTGCTGATGAGCAGTGGGCCAGAACACCTGTCAACAGGTGCAGACGTCTGACTGAGAGATACAGAAACACCTGATTGGCTCAAAAGGTTGTTCAGCTAAATATTAGTCTACGGGTCCCATCATGCTTGGGGTTTTTATTTATTTATTTATTTTTAAACATATTTCTGTTGAACCACAATTCAAAAGCAACATCATGATTTTCATTACATTTTTATTTATTATTACTTTTGTCAATTTCATCTTATTTTAGTGACTGAAGCTGCTTTTTTCCTTCTTTAATGGGAGGGTATGACTACATCTGAGGACGACTGTACATATTGTTTATTGGCTTTTTAAGGTAAAACCCTGCAGGGGAATAACGTGAATTTCTCAACAGATTTCACCATGAATCTCCCTCAGCTGATTTCTTACATCAGGACAATTATTTTTGTTATTACAAGTTTTCTGTGCAAATAAGTACCGTGCAAATGAGGCATTGTCTCATTAAATATGCATTAATTTGCATATATTTAAAGAACAGCAACATAAACATCAGACATTTTGTTGACACGTTAGACTTGAAGGTTTTCTTATAAGAAAATACTATTTAAAAAAATCAGTTTTTGCCACGTTTAAAGGAATTGAATGATGTATAAAGCAGGCTGTGAATAATAAATAAACCCTCTGTGAAAACCTTCAGAATATAGATGGATCTGAGTGCTGCTAAAGTGGAGATTTCTGGCTGAGAAGCTTAAAAAAATATGCAAAAAAACAAACAAACCATAAATAAATAAATTGTAGTAAAATGAACACCTACATTAAAATAAAAATGCTTTCTTTCACTAATCTAAAAGAAAACAAGTTATGGAAACAAAACAGTCTGATCTGTTGACCAGTACATTAAAAATGCCAAACGCATGCACGTTTAACAGCACGTTTTTCCCACAGAGTGAATTAAAAAGCACTTTTCTAAAAACAGGGACTGTTATAAACCTCAGTGAATTAAAATCTCGACATCGTTGTGGGCAAAACACTGTAAAAAAACAAACACTTTCTCGGGTAGATATAAAAGGTTTGTACCTGATCCACACACAACAAATACAAAGAGGGCGAGCAGCCAGGGACCCACGGGGTACTTCTCCTCTTGTGGCCGCTACAAGAAACAAACACAGATTGTACATGAGTGCTACACAGAGCCGACGCTGCAGAGCAAAAGTCAAACCACAAAGAGGTTTCCTCCTTTTTCTGCTGCTCATGCGGTTGTTGCTCCTGCTCTTATCTGTTGGTCAGTATTTCTGCCTTTAAACCCACAAGCAACACTTAGCTAACCAGACGAGGCTGTTGCTCACCAAAAACATCCACCACAACCACTGTGTGCGTGCAAGAGTCTAATTATAAAGCCAGAGGTGCAGGGCTGTCAGTGGGCAGCAGCCATCAGCTGATACCATCTGTTTGGACACGTGTTGGTGTGCTGCTGGAGGAGGAAGCGTCACAGTCAGGGATGATGTAAACAATGACGGAGAAGAGAGAGGACGAGCGGAAAAGTCTGTTTAAGTGACAGATTAAGAAACGCACGGAGGGGTGTAATTATACTCAGTGAAGTTGATTTAAAAGTTCAAAGAAAGAGGGATGGGTCTGAGATGGAAATTAAATTAGAAAATGCCAGCAGCTCCAGAGCTTTTAAGTTCCTGATCCTGGAAACAGCTACTAAATGGAGCCTTTAGTGAGTTTCTTTTGCAGCCCAAGAATGAGTTTAAATCTTAACTTTTAAGCCAAAACAGGTGGAAATTTAAACATTCACAAAGTAAACTGTCTAAAAAAAATAGTGAACAATGTCTGTCCTGGTTTCCAAGAGCCTGAACAGCAGGTAGAAACCAAAAGAAATTCAATTTACAAGAGAAATCAAGTCAATCTTGGACAGTGAGGAAACTATAATGGTCATGGTTAACTGATTCACTGATGAATAGAAGCTAATAAATAATAAAAGGGTTGTTTTAGTTATTGATTCATCCATGATCAATTAATCTGCAGGTTTTGTTTGTTGTATCAGAAAAATGCTCAGTGTTATTTCCCTTTTAAATCATTAAGTTAGTATTAAAACACAAAGAGATAATCAGTTTACCATCAACAATAAGTCGATCATGTGCTGACTGACTGATCGATTATTCATCTGGATACCTACATATCAGAGCTACAGCAGCTAATCAATTAGTTCTCAACCGTTAAATTAATCCCTGACTGCTGATAAATAATTCATCAGTTTGAGTTTGAAGTTAAATATTTTCAGGTTTCGTCCTCCTTTGTGCCACTAAACTAAATATCTTTGGTTTGTGAATAAAACAAGACATTTCACGGCTTCATGTTGGGCTTCAGGAAACAGTCCTTCACATTATTTTTTCACCATTTCCTGACCAAAGATCCAACAAGTAGCTCAAAATCTGTACAGAGAGTTCTTATTATCGTCACTGAAACGTGTGCAGACATGTAGAAATGTGTCTGTTTTTCATATAATTAAAAAGAAGTGTGTATGATTTAGGCTTAGCCGGGAATTTAGTTAAACCTCTTCAAGACTGAAGGGATCAGATCTGCTTTGAAGAGCTCTGGAAACCAACAATGCAAGACCAGAACCTGTGGTGCCTCAGCTCGGTGGGTGTCCTGAGCAGAAAAAAGGACATTTTTGCCATCGGCTTCCATTTGAGTTGTATTTACTTTAGCACCTGTTCCAAATTGTCAATCAATTATCAATTAATGGTTGCTGTCAGTGCTGGAGAATGGCCTGATTACACTTTATTATCATTCTGCAGTAAAACACTCTGACTTGTTTGTATTTCTTTAAACCAATCAGCCCGGGATGCAGCACAGATGCCCCACCAACATAGTGACAGGGGAGTTGTTCTGGTGGGCTGGGATGCTGTTGGAAAAAAAACAATCCTGCTCAAAAAGATTTGCATGATCCAAATCTGTTCAATGTGAGGTTGCTGTTTCCTGTAGAGAAGTGGAAACTGGAAAATAGGACATAATTGGCTGAAATGGGCGACCGATGGGAGGCTTATACCCATGGTCTACATCCAGACTATGACTGCAAAAGAAAAATGAGTGACCGAACACAGTAATTTGTGGAAAAAAATCAAATTAAATGAGCAAGACAGTGTGTCACCCCAGTGTGAGCGATGGTCTGAGCACGTTCGCAAAACTTGCAAACAAGTAATCCAATAATCTAGAAAACACCCAACAATTAAAATAACTACTAGTTCCAGCCCTGCTATATAATCACTGCTAAGTTTGGCATCTCCTTAATTAGAAGAAGCTGCACTGGTGTAAGTTTTTGCCTCCATCCTACGTGATGCTGTGTGTTCACCTTTCACTCACTCACTCACTCAGTAAAGTAACGTCAAGTTACTCTGCTGAGGGCGGTAACGAGTCCACTCTGGATAAATGACATCTGAACCAAACAGCTCAGCTCGGTGGATCACAACGTGTGCTGAATACATGGAGCTGTAAAGGTCCTGAGTCACGCTCTACCTTCATCTGACAGCTGCCACCTCCACCTCCACCAGCAGCAGCAGCAGCATCAGCACCATCCTGCTGCTGCTGCTGCTGCTGCTCACGCCGGGCTGAGCGTCACCTATCTGGGCTAATGTCATGCTGGCATCTATGAGTGAGCGGCTCACCAGCGTCTTGGCTACGTTTCCTCTCTGAGTGATGTTCTTGCTGTGTTTCTCGTTGGCCATGCGGATCCTCTGTTTAGCCACCATCTTCCACAGCGAGGGTAAAACCCGGGATAAACGCCTCTCTTTAGCCTGTTATTTTCTGATGCTGCAGGCTGACGACAGCAACCCCCGCGTCAAGCTCCCGCAGCTGCGCGACGAGCGAACGGGAAACGCGCCGGATCCGCTTTCAAATTACGAGCAGGGAACGAGCCGTAAACCGCCATTGTAAGCTAAGAACACGCACAGAATTATGTGTTTATTTTACAGGATACACACATTAAATTTGTGTTATTATTTTGTTTTATTAACTGTCGAAAACAACTTAAAGGATTTGCTGCTGCTCTTATTCTGAAGGGCATTACCGGATTCTGAGTGCTGTATGTTAGTGAGCTTCACAACGAGCTCCACTTCGTACCTGGAGGAGAAGAGTGGCCAGGGAAGCTCCCCAGCCATCCATCATGGGGTTGAATTGATTACGTTGCTTTAAAAAAAACAAGTTGTTTGTCACAGTTCTGAGATGAAGCCTGCAGAAAGTTTAGGAAAAAAAATAAGAAAAAAGAACTGACTCAAGACTGACAGCAGTTCCAGAAACAGGCCAAGGAAGCTGATTGAGTTATCTTTAAGTAAAATAATGACAGAATGTAAGAGGTAAATTTATTGTAATTAAGTGTTTGTTTCAACTTTTTCCTTTTAACGGCCTCTCATCGTTATTTAAAATCCCTCTCCAGATGTTAGAACCTATCCTGACTATCCAGATGTGGACTGTGGGTATAAACCTGCCACTGGCTGCTCATCTCAGACAGACTTCTCCTCCCTTTCTGCTATCTGCATGTTCGTAATCTGCTTCACTACGGAAACAACAACCTCCAGGCAGCAACGCACCACGCTGAACATCTGGATCCTTGCAGTTAATCAGCTCTGCTTTTTATCCCTTTATGAAATATCCCGTTTAGTTACCACGCTCGTCTCACTGTGTGCAAACACTCCAACAAAACAATCCAAGGGTTTTTTCTCACCTTTATCCTCACCCCGACCAGCCGAGGCAGATGGCTGCCCTCCCCGAGCCTGGTTCTGTCGAAGCTTCCTCCCGTTAAAGGTGAGTTTTTTATCGTCCCAACTGTTTAAATTGTTTGAATTTGTTGTTCCTCTCTGTGATATTGGGAGGTCTTCTCCTCACTATGTGAGGTGCCATTTTATAAACTGGTTTTGTACAAATGAAGCTAAACTGAATTGTAATCTATGAAATC